AAAAAGTGTCTTTTATCTCTTCACTCCCAGAAGTATAGAAAGCAGGAGCACCAAGAAAAGGAGTACAGAGTCCTCTATGAGACCTTGTAGGCCATTTAGGGGGTATAATTTGATCCATGGGGCAAGGAAGGGTCATTAGTTCATTTTTTTTAATGTATGCTATTTATAAACCTTTTTCAAGTACATATTTATTTGGTCAGATAATTTTTCAGACTCAAAAGTACATCAAATTTATTCCTGTTAAATTTTATCCAATTTGAGTTCACTGTAGCTATGGTCTACTGAGATTATTTTGTTTCCTAATCAATCTTACCACATATTTACTATTTCTTTCCACTTTCTAGAAATATGATGACTGTATCCTTTAAATGTTTTTTTCTATGCCCCCCTTAAGAAGTGAGATTAGTTTAAGGAGGACAATACTCTAAAAATTTTTTATTTGGATGACATGAAAATATTAATTAGCATCCTTTGAATACAAACAATTTATTGCTGTAGGTACTACTAGTTATCTAATTAATTTTTTCACACTGCCTCTAGGCCAACAGAAATACCTAGCATTTCATTTATTAGTTAGGTCCAAACTGTTTAAGAGTAGTGGTCTGTGCTTTGTCCAAAAGACAATAGTTGTGGGGCGCCTGGGTGGCTCAGTTGTTAAGCCTCTGCCTTCGGCTCAGGTCATGATCCCAGGGTCCTGGGATCGAGCCCCGCATTCGGCTCTCCAGTCAGCGGGAAGCCTGCTTCTCCCTCTCCCACTCCCCCTGCCTGTGTTCCCTCTCTTGCTATGTCTCTGTCTGTCAAATAAATAAATAAAATCTTAAAAAAAAAAAAAGACATAGTTGTGTCTCCTTCAAAATTATAAAATATCCAAGGCACTATGATGGTCCACGTTGCCTCACCATACAGTTTAAACTAAAGTTCTAGCCTATAACCCTAACAACAACAACAAAAAAGATGTATTTGACATAATCTGTTCTGTGTAAATTTATACTTTGTCAGAGTGATTACTGCTTCCTCCTAAGATATTTGCAGGTATTGCTTTTAATCTTGCCAGGGATCAAGATGAAGAAAACTGGTCTAGTTTACAGAATGTTTTTTTGAAAATCATATGATATTTGATCTTCAGTTTTCTGCCAATTTTCCTATTTTCCATGTCCTCAAATAAAGTCAAAATAAATTCACTGACTGGAAAACAGTATGGAGGTTCCTCAAAAAGTTAAAAATAGAGCTACCATACAATCCAGCAATTGCACTACTGGGTATTTACCCCAAAGAGACAAATGGAGGGATCCAAAGGGATATATGCACCCTGATGTTTATAGCAGCAATGTCCACAATAGCCGAACTATGGAAAGAGCCAAGATGTCCATCAACAGATGACTGGATAAAGAAGATGTGGTATATATATATACAATGGAGTATTATGTGGCCATCAAAAGGAATGAAATCTTGCCATTTGCAATGACATGGATGGAACTGGAGGGTATTATGCTGAGCGAAATAAGTCAATCAGAGAAAGACATGTATCATATGACCTCACTGATACGAGGAATTCTTAATCTCAGGACACAAACTGAGGGTTGCTGGAGTGGTGGGGGGTGGGAGGGATGGGGTAGCTGGGTGACAGACATTGGGGGAGTATGTGCTATGGTTGGCGCTGTGAATTGTGTAAGACTGCTGAATCACAGACCTGTACCTCTGAAACAAATACTACATTATATGTAAAAAAAAAAAAAAAAAAAAGATAAGAAGGGAAAAATGAAGGGGGGAAATCAGAGGGGGAGACGAATCATGAGAGACTATGGACCCTTTGAAACAAATTGAGGGTTCTAGAGGGGACGGGGGTGGGGGGATGGGTTAGCCTGGTGATGGTATTAAAGAGGGCACGTACTGGGTGTTACACGCAAACAATGAATCATGGAACACTACATCAAAAACAAATGATGTAATGTATGGTGACTAACATAACGTAGTAAAAAAAATAAAAAATTCAGTGAGTATATATGAAAGTTCATGCAGTTATTGATACCATGTTAAATGTTTAAAGTACCCAATATTTTAAAATTTTATAACCAATTAAAGCAGTAACTTTTTAGTTTGTTCACTAGTAGTATCTCAAGAAGCTGATAAATCTTCATAAGAGAGTGTTTAAGGGGCACCTGGGTGGCACAGTCGGTTAAGCGGCTGTCTTTGGCACAGGTCATGATCCTGGGGTCCTGGGATTGAGCCCCGCATCAGGCTCCCTGCTCAGCGGGGAGCCTACTTCTCCCTCTCCTCCCCATTTGTGTTCTCTCTCACTATCTCTATTGCTATCTCTCTCTCAAATAATTAAATCTTTAAAAAAAGAGAGCATTTAAAGAGCAGAAGTCTACATTCAAATGGACATAGTTTAAATCTGAGCCCTACCACTTACTAGCTGACTGACCATGCACAAGTTTTAAATCTCTGTAAATCCTAATTTCTTCATCTTTATTTTTTTTTAAAGATTTTTATTTATTTGAGAGAGAGATAGCGAAAGAGATAGTGAGAGAGAGTAGGAGCAAGGAGGAGAGGGAGAAGCAGGCTCCCCGCTGAGCAGGGAGCCCAATGCGGGGCTCGATCCCAGGACCCTGGGATCATGACCTGATCCGAAGGCAGACGCTTAACTGATTGAGCCACCCAGGCACCCAATTTCTTCATCTTTATTAAAAGAATAATACCTAATTCAAAGGGTTGCTGTGACGAATAAATACAACTTGGTATATAATAAGTGTTTAAAAATACCTACCATCATTAATAATAAGAACAATAATTTCATGGGGCGCCTGGGTGGCTCAGTCGTTAAGCATCTGCCTTCGGCTCAGGTCATGATCCCAGCATCCTGGGATCGAGCCCCGCATTGGGCTCTCTGCTCAGTGGGAAGCCTGCTTCTCCCTCTCCCACTCCCCCTGCTTGTGCTCCTGCTCTCACTATCTCTCTGTCAAATAAATAAATAAAATCTTTAACAAAAAAAAACCCCAATAATTTCATGCAACAGGGACACCTGGGTGGCTCAGTCGGTTAAGCATCTGCCTTCAGCTCAGGTCATGATCCCAGGGTCCTGGAATCGAGCCCCACATGGGGCACCCTCCTCAGTGGGGAGTCTGCTTCTCCCTTTCCCTCTGCCTGTTGCTCTGCCTACTTGTCCCCTTTTTCTCTGTCAAATAAATAAATAAATAATCTTTAAAAAAAAAATAATTTCATGCAACATAAGAAAATGTCTATGACTGAGTACTGCTAAGCCCAGAGTTGATATAAATGAAATAAAAATTATCTTATAACCACAAATGATTTAAAAACTGAAATTATATCTAATGAAAAACAAAGTTTGAATGGAAGGTGTGGTATAGTGGAAGAGGTAGCTTAAGATAATTTGAAACTCAAACATATGCAAATATATTTGCATATATGCAAATATTCAAGGTTATAATAGGAATTTGATAAGAAATGGCCCAATGTAGTCCATTATTTGTCATTCCAATTGTGAAGAACCAAGAAATATTCTGGAAGTTGAACAGTGTGAAGAAGCATAACACAGTTTTCCCTATTTTCTTTATACTATACTTACTTACTTTAGATTTAATATAAAGCAAAATAAAGCCAAACTAAATACTAGAAAGTACCATAACACCAGAGGATAAAAGCCACACACAAATTTGCTTTCCCATTTCATCAAAAAAATTCATATTGTGAGTTGGTAGCCTTCCTTTCTCAAAAATAGACTGTACAATTAGCTTAATATTTTAGGCTACTGTATAATTCATAATGTTAATTATGTTAACATATGTTAACCGTATAATACCATATAATTCATACGTATATAACCGTATAATACCGTATAATTCATAAAGTTAATTATTTTAATCATCTTTTATAATTAAGGGGAATCATAAAGATGTTTATTACATTCGAAAGTATTCTCCTGGGGCGCCTGGGTGGCTCAGTCATTAAGTGTCTACCTTCGGCTCAGGTCATGATCCCAGGGTCCTGGGATCGAGCCCCACATTGGGCTCCCTGCGCAGCGGGAAGCCTGCTTCTCCCTCTCCCACCCCCCTGCTTATGTTCCCTCTCTCGCTGTCTCTCTCTGTCAAATAAATAAAAATCTTAAAAAAAAAGAGTATTCTCCTTAAAATGACACAAAAAAGGCAATGTAACTAAATTTTCACAAAATGCTATCTGCTTTTTTTAAACAAACGTTTTACAGAAAAAATGGGAATATCTAGGAAAACATGTATATACTTAAGAAAAAAGGAACCATGAAAATTAAAACTAATGATTACTATCATATTAAATTAATTCAGTGGAAGAAAAGGAAAAATCTGATGAACAAGATCATAGAGTTATCAATTAGACAAATGTAAGCAAACAAGCCAAAACAACAAAAAGTGGGATTCTAAGCAGAAAAAAAAGACAAAAAGGCATGCTTTGAAATTTTGCATAAAGTGTGATTCCATTTAAATATATTCTGATTCATTTAAAGCAAGTGGGTGAAATTATTACAACCATGTATTGGTTTAAAGTGATATTACCACATCTTTTAAGTAAGTATGTTCAGCCTATAACATATAAATAAGCTACAAAAATTAGGCTAAATTGAAGAGGTACATGTTTGCCAAATGTAATAAAAGGCCAAATTTGCACCTGAGAAAAATTATTGCACCCAGAAGGCAAAAAAAATTCTTTGTAATCAATACAGAAGACATTTGCAAAGTATAGGTTCTAAGCTATATAGGTGATAAGACAAAATTACACACAAGAATCAATTTATGGATCATCACAGCTCAACCTGTTTACATTGGCTTGTTAAGACATGATCGTCAATTTTTTCAAAGATTTTCTAAGAGCATCAGCTTTTGGGAAATTCCCCTTAGGAAATCCTGGATGTTTTTCAGGTGAAATTCTCTGTAGATAAACATGCAAAATGACTTTCATTATTTTCTCTGAAGCAAAGCATAAGCAACTTCTGCAGAACACAGCCATACCTTTCCGGATGTCTTCGGCCATATATCTCTCCTTTCCATTTAGTTTCATTATTTTCTGCTCTTTGTTGCTGCATTTGATCAAAAATAGCATGATAATGTTCATACTGTCCTCGAGAAGAAAAAGATGATGGAGCCACAGCCCCTCCACTGCCAAAAAAGGGAGCCTAGGAATTAAACAAATAGCTCTCACATGTTTATCTCATAAGGCCCAAAAGGCCTGTACTACTCTCAAAAAAAAAAGTTTTTTTTCAACACTTGACTTTTAAAAAGCAATGAACTAATTTGAACATATTCATAAACAGACAGCCAAAAGCAAAATGTTTTCCTACTATATTATAACCATTAACAATCAAAAAAGTAGTATACTTTGTTACTAAGAATAAAGCATAATTTAAGAAAAATATAAAAAGACATTAAAATTGTAAATATTGAAAAGTTTGGTCTAAGTTTTGAAACAAGTTTCTAGTACATATTTTATGATGCCATTCAATTAAGTTTAAATATGTACAATTTATAAGTAAAGCAGAGACTATTGTAGTAACACTCAAAATTATATTTAACAAGAACATTTACATCTGGCATTAAATATACCTCAAATCCTTCAACTCCACAAATGGTAAAGATATAAATACCATTGAAACATATTCTAGATATAAATAAAAATGAGCAAAGCATCATATCTATCTTTAATCAGTTTATAAAGAAGTTGGGAAACAAAGCACAAAACTAGAAAAGCATTCCATGCCTGTGATAAATCAATGGTAACACGCACATGCTAAAGTGGTAAGTACTGAGACTGAGCAACTTTCACAAAATAGAAAAAAACCTTACCAGAAATAAAAATTTCTCAAAAGAAAAAAAAAAAGGCACTGGAGAAAGACAGTATTCAACCCAGCCATGAAAGCAATGTAACAAAGACAGATTGAATGATTAAATATGAGCCAGGGTATTAAAGTAAAAAGCGATGTATGTATAATATTTGGGTGTTGACAGCAGGAGGAGAAAGAGAGAGTATGCAAACAAATATGAAAAGAAGGCAAGCATTGGTCATAAAAGGCTAATATATCTAATTGCTAGCAACCCTTTGAGATCATATAATAAAGGACAACAGAAAGCATTTATAAACTTTCTGAGAGGTGTAGCATAGCAAAACGGTTTTTAGGAAGGTGAGTCAAATTATGCATGATAAGCAGGAATAAGAGAGAGAATAAGGTAGAGGAAGTAATCCAAAGGCTTACTGCACTGATGCCAAGCCACAGGCCTAGAAGTAAAGAAAGGCAATCAATGAAAAAGGGAAGGGAGTTGTGGATTCTCTTTGGGAATAACACAGAATAAAGGCAGACATAAGGCCACAACTCCTGAGACATAAGAACTCAAGCATGTGGAAAACTCAGTTAGAAAACAGAGATGTCAGATAAGGATAAGAATTTTAAAAGTAAGTGTGTAGGGAGAGGAGCAAGATGGCAGAGGAGTAGGAGACCTAAATTTCGTCTGGTCAAAGGAATTCAGCTAGATAGGGATCAAACCATTCTGAACACCTACAAACTCAATAGGAGATTGAAGAAAAGAATAGCAGCAACTCTCTGAACAGAAAAGCGACCACTTTCTGAAAGGTAGGACGTGTGGAGGAGTGAATCCGAGGCGATATACGGGAAGACAGACGGCGGGGGAAGAGAGCCTCTGTCAGCTGCTACCAGCAAGTGACACAGCAGCAGAGCACAAAATCGGAACTTTTAGAAGTCAGCTCTGCTGAGGGACGTCGCTCCAGTGGCTAAGTCGGGGGTGGAACCCTCGCGGGACAGTGTGGTCTCAGGACCCTCGGGGTCACAGAAAGACCGGGGGTGCCTGAGTGCGGCAGAGCTTCAGAGGGATCAGAGCGGGGAAGCCCGCTGCAAAGACGGAGCTGAGGAGTGGGCTCTCAGCTCGGGGTTGCCATAAACTGTGATCTGCGGCCCAGTCCAGCCACTGCTCCTCCAGCAGGGATCCAACAACTGGCAGATCCGGGGAGATTCCCCTTCCTTCCCTGGGAGGAGCGGCGTGGGAGCGCACCAGGGATCTGCTGGGTTTGGAGACTCCACACCGAGTTGGGTGCCAGAGATAGAAACGCTCAGTCACAGGCTGGGTGAGCACAGAGAGCGGCCAGAGACCGGGGAGACAGGAGTGACTGACTGCTTTTCTCTGGGGGCTCACTGAGGAGTGGGGCCCCAAGTTCTTGGTTCCTCTGGGGCACAGATTGGGAGGCCACCATTTTCGCTCTCGTCCTCCAAAGCTGTATCGAAAGCTTAGAGGGAACAAAACCTCCCGAGAGCAAACCTGGGCAGGTTACTTAGCCTGGACCCCAGCAAAGGTGGGGCAATTCCACGTCGGGCAAAGACATTTGAGAATCACTGTGACAGGCCCCTCCCCCAGAAGATCAGCAAGAACAGCCAGCCAAGACCAAGTTTACCGATCAATGAGAATGGCAGCACTCCAGCACCAGGGGAATACAGCACACAGAATTTGTGGCTTTTTTTTCCGATTCTCTAGTCCTTCAAAGTTAATTTTTTTAATTTTCTTTTTTTTTCTTTTTCTTGAATTTTTCTTTTTCCCTTTTTCAACCAACATCTTATCAATCCCTTTTTAAAAATCTTTTTTATTTTTCATTTTTAGAATCATATTCTATCCCTTCATAGTAGTTAAACTTAATTTTGATATATATATATATATGTTGTTCTCTTTTTAAAATTTTGAGATACAGCTTCTTCTAACAGACCAAAATATACCCTAAATCTCTAGTATATGACTTTGTTCTAGTCTCCTGCCTGATCACACTTTTTTTTTTTAATTTCTCTTCTTCCTTTTTTCAACTTCTTGTCAATTCCTTTTATAAAATCTTTTATCATTTTAAGCTTTACATTCATATCCCATCCCGCCATTGTATTTATCCTTATTTTTATACATATATAAGCTTTTCTTTCTTTAAAATTTTGGGAGGCAGTTTCTTCTAACAGACCAAAATACACCCAAAATCTAGTGGGTGGCATGATCTATTCACCAGTCTGATCATATTTGATCATTTTTTTTTTCTTTTTCTTTTTTCTCTTTCCCTTTCTTTTCCCCCAGTTGCAGGTCTCTTCTGATTTATTAAGTGTCTATTTTTCTGGCGTCATTGTTACCCTGTTAGCATTTTGTTCTCTCATTCATCTATTAGCCTCTGGACAAAATGACAAGACGGAAAAAATCACCTCAACAAAAAGAACAGGCAGTACCGACTGCCAGGGACCTAATCAATACAGACATTAGTAAGATGTCTGAACTAGAGTTCAGAATGATCATTTTAAAGATACTAGCTGGGCTTGAAAAAAGCATGGAAGATATTAGAGAAACCCTTCTGGAGAAATGAAAGAACTAAAATCTAACCAAGTCAAAATCAAAAAGGCTATTA